TGCTTAGAATTAAATTGATAAAATGCTGCGAGCACGGTGCAAACCTGCACAGGGATATACCCCATTAGATTTCAAGTCCAATGTGATAACTTCTTGGGCATCACAGCACTGCCCTCAGGACTGACATGGCTCCTCTTTCTGCAAAGAATGTTTCCATTTCCCATAGAGGACTTGAATCCTCCATGAAGAAGGTCTTGTGCTCAACCACCAGTAGAACCAGACATTCTGTTGTCTTTTCCGGTAATGCATCAGTCCCCATCAGAGACCAAAGAGATCACTGAGTGTAGTTAACTTAATACTCAATCAGCTTGTTTAATTAGGCTTTTTATACTGAGGAGAAAGAGCAGATCATGCAATTGAAACTCTTTGTGATATGTTATTATCACGGACTGATGCATGGCCGTTGATGATTCATAATACAGGTAAACCCAGTTTGCTTGCACTCCCAATGGCATCAACTCTTAGCCAGGACAGACATTAAAGCGACTGGTTTTTGAGAAAGTTTGGAAAAACATAAAGTCATGTGAAATATGGCCCTGTGACACAAAAAAAAGCACCCTCGATGTAATGATGAATGAAAGTAAAGATTTTTCCATGATGCATGAGCAGTATACGGACGTATTTCTCAATGACCAGAGCAGATCTGGTCTGCTTAACTGGGGAAAAATCCTGAGTGTCAGTTGCAGTTGACCAGTTGCATTTTCTGGCTCTGAAACATTCTTACATCATGATAATGGGGCTGTCCAACCCCTACAGTGCATGGTTCCATAGTGTAGTGGTCATCACGTCTGCTTTACACGCAGAAGGTCCTGGGTTCAAGCCCCAGTGGAACCAGCCCTTGGCTTCTCTTTACCTCACATGCAGCATCTCTATCCCCATCAAACATTGAACTCACCAGTGTGTGTGGTAACGTATGTACTCAAACAACTTGATTGAATGGGAACTTAACAATGAAATTATTAACGCCTGCTTTCACTGTTTGATACAAGGAAGTTTGCAATTCATGATGCAGATCAAGCTAATTTTCTTGCACTTCTAATGTCCTAAACTCTTCGCCAGGAAATCTCAGACAGCACTGTCGATAGTTCCAAAGTATACTAGCCTCAAAGTGCTAGGATGAATGGTTCTTTAGTGTAGTGGTCATCACATCTACTTTCCATGGAGAAGGTCTTGTGCTCAACCACCAGTAGAACCAAACATTCTGTTGTCTTTTCCGGTAATGCATCAGTCCCCATCAGAGACCAAAGAGATCACTGATTGTAGTTAACTTAATACTCAATCAGCTTGTTTACTTAGGCTTTTTATACTGAGGTGAAACAGCAGATCATGCAATTGAAACTCTCAGTGATATGTTATTATCACGGACTGATGCATGGACGTCGATGATTCATAATACAGGTAAACCCAGTTTGCAATACCATCAACTCTTAGCCAGGACAGACATAACAGCGACTGGTTTTTAAGAAAGTTTGGAAAAACATAAAGTCATGTGAAATATGGCCGTGTGACGCAAAAAAAATGCACCCTCGATGTAATGATGAATGAAAGTAAAGATTTTTCCATGATGCATGAGCAGCATACGGAAACATTCTCAATGAACAGGGCAGATCAGGTCTGCTTAGCTGGCGTAAAATCCTGAGTGTCAGTTGCAGTTGACCAGTTGCATTTTCTGGCTCTGAAACATTCTTACATCATGATAATGGGGCCCTCCAACAACTAAAATGCATGGTTCCATAGTGTAGTGGTCATCACGTCTGCTTTACACGCAGAAGGTCCTGGGTTCAACCCCCAGTGGAACCAGTCCTTGGATTCTCCTTACCTCACATAGGCCATCTGTATCCCCATCAAACCCTAAATGCACCAGTGTTTGATGAAGTACATATTCCAACATCTTGATTGAATAAGAACTTTACAATGAAATTATGAAAGCCTGTTTTCACGGTTTGATACAAGGAAGGTGCCGATTCATGATGCAGATCAACCTAATTTGCTTGCACTTCTAATGCCCTAAACTCGTCGCCAGGGCAGACGAGTCAAGCACTGGTTTTCGCGAAAATTTAGAGAAACATATAGTCATGTTAAATATGGCTCGCCTGCATAACAAAATTTACCCTTGATTTATTGATGATTTTAAGTAAAAATTTCACCCTGATGCAGGAGGAGGAAAGGTATGTATTTCTCAATTAGCAAGTGGAGATCATGTCTGCTTACCCGCCATAAAATCATAGGCATTTGGTGCAGTTGAAGAGTTTACTTGGCTTGCACGTTAACATCCTTACGTCAATGATTTTGTGTTCAGAGCTTTTTCTGACTCGTACTAGTAAGAGGTTAATAAATATTACGCTGTAAGCAGGGTTCGAACCTGCGCGGGAAAATCCCATCGATTTCAAATCCCATGCATTAAACTCTCGGCCATCACAGCATACCCCAAATGGTTACCATGACCCCTCTCTCTTCAAAGAATGTTTCTTTTGGACAAAGTGAATTTTAATCGTGAATGCACTTCTCTGCGATGACACAATTCTGCAGATGGTTCCATAGTGTACTGCTGGCATAAAGTCCTCGGCGTCAGGTGCAGTCAGACAATTCCATTGTCTTGCACTCAAACATGCCTACATCATAATCTTAGGCTCCACAACTTTGTTTCTTACAAGCACTGCTTAGAATTAAATTGATAAAATGCTGCGAGCACGGTGCAAACCTGCACAGGGATATACCCCATTAGATTTCAAGTCCAATGTGATAACTTCTTGGGCATCACAGCACTGCCCTCAGGACTGACATGGCTCCTCTTTCTGCAAAGAATGTTTCCATTTCCCATAGAGGACTTGAATCCTCCATGAAGAAGGTCTTGTGCTCAACCACCAGTAGAACCAGACATTCTGTTGTCTTTTCCGGTAATGCATCAGTCCCCATCAGAGACCAAAGAGATCACTGAGTGTAGTTAACTTAATACTCAATCAGCTTGTTTAATTAGGCTTTTTATACTGAGGAGAAAGAGCAGATCATGCAATTGAAACTCTTTGTGATATGTTATTATCACGGACTGATGCATGGCCGTTGATGATTCATAATACAGGTAAACCCAGTTTGCTTGCACTCCCAATGGCATCAACTCTTAGCCAGGACAGACATTAAAGCGACTGGTTTTTGAGAAAGTTTGGAAAAACATAAAGTCATGTGAAATATGGCCCTGTGAAAAAAAAAAAAAAAGCACCCTCGATGTAATGATGAATGAAAGTAAAGATTTTTCCATGATGCATGAGCAGTATACGGACGTATTTCTCAATGACCAGAGCAGATCTGGTCTGCTTAACTGGGGAAAAATCCTGAGTGTCAGTTGCAGTTGACCAGTTGCATTTTCTGGCTCTGAAACATTCTTACATCATGATAATGGGGCTGTCCAACCCCTACAGTGCATGGTTCCATAGTGTAGTGGTCATCACGTCTGCTTTACACGCAGAAGGTCCTGGGTTCAAGCCCCAGTGGAACCAGCCCTTGGCTTCTCTTTACCTCACATGCAGCATCTCTATCCCCATCAAACATTGAATTCACCAGTGTTGTGTGGTAACGTATGTACTCAAACAACTTGATTGAATGGGAACTTAACAATGAAATTATTAACGCCTGCTTTCACTGTTTGATACAAGGAAGTTTGCAATTCATGATGCAGATCAACCTAATTTTCTTGCACTTCTAATGTCCTAAACTCTTCGCCAGGAAATCTCAGACAGCACTGTCGATAGTTCCAAAGTATACTAGCCTCAAAGTGCTAGGATGAATGGTTCTTTAGTGTAGTGGTCATCACATCTACTTTCCATGGAGAAGGTCTTGTGCTCAACCACCAGTAGAACCAAACATTCTGTTGTCTTTTCCGGTAATGCATCAGTCCCCATCAGAGACCAAAGAGATCACTGATTGTAGTTAACTTAATACTCAATCAGCTTGTTTACTTAGGCTTTTTATACTGAGGTGAAACAGCAGATCATGCAATTGAAACTCTCTGTGATATGTTATTATCACGGACTGATGCATGGACGTCGATGATTCATAATACAGGTAAACCCAGTTTGCAATACCATCAACTCTTAGCCAGGACAGACATAACAGCGACTGGTTTTTAAGAAAGTTTGGAAAAACATAAAGTCATGTGAAATATGGCCGTGTGACGCAAAAAAAATGCACCCTCGATGTAATGATGAATGAAAGTAAAGATTTTTCCATGATGCATGAGCAGCATACGGACGTATTTCTCAATGAACAGGGCAGATCAGGTCTGCTTAGCTGGCGTAAAATCCTGAGTGTCAGTTGCAGTTGACCAGTTGCATTTTCTGGCTCTGAAACATTCTTACATCATGATAATGGGGCCCTCCAACAACTAAAATGCATGGTTCCATAGTGTAGTGGTCATCACGTCTGCTTTACACGCAGAAGGTCCTGGGTTCAATCCCCAGTGGAACCAGTCCTTGGATTATCCTTACCTCACATAGGCCATCTGTATCCCCATCAAACCCTAAATGCACCAGTGTTTGATGAAGTACATACTCCAACATCTTGATTGAATAAGAACTTTACAATGAAATTATTAAAGCCTGTTTTCACGGTTTGATACAAGGAAGGTGCCGATTCATGATGCATATAAACCTAATTTGCTTGCACTTCTAATGCCCTAAACTCGTCGCCAGGGCAGGACGCGTCAAGCACTGGTTTTTAGAAAATTTAGAGAAACATATAGTCATGTTAAATATGGCTCGCCTGCATAACAAAATTTACCCTTGATTTATTGATGATTTTAAGTAAAAATTTCACCCTGATGCAGGAGGAGGAAAGGTATGTATTTCTCAATTAGCAAGTGGAGATCATGTCTGCTTACCCGCCATAAAATCATAGGCATTTGGTGCAGTTGAAGAGTTTCCTTGGCTTGTTAACATCCTTACGTCAATGATTTTGTGTTCAGAGCTTTTTTCTGACTCGTACTAGTAAGAGTTTAATAAATATTACGCTGCGAGCAGGGTTTGAACCTGCGCGGGAAAATTCCATTCAATTTCAAATCCCGTGCCTTAAACTCTCGGCCATCACAGCACACCCCAAATGGTTGCCATGAACCCTCTCTCTTCAAAGAATGTTTTTTTTGGACAAAGTGAATTTTAATCGTGAATGCACTTCTCTGCGATGACACAATTCTGCAGATGGTTCCATAGTGTACTGCTGGCATAAAGTCCTCGGCGTCAGGTGCAGTCAGACAGTTCCATTGTCTTGCACTCAAACATACCTACATTATTATCTTGGGCTCCACAACTTTGTTTCTTACAAGCACTGATTAGAATTAAATTGATAAAATGCTGCGAGCACGGTGCAAACCTGCACAGGGATACCCCATTAGATTTCAAGTCCAATGTGATAACTTCTTGGGCATCACAGCACTGCCCTCAGGACTGACATGGCCCCTCTTTCTTCAGAGAATGTTTCCATTTCCCAAAGAGGATTTGAATAGTGAATGCACAACACAAATCTCACACAGCACTGTAGATAGTTCCAAAGTATACCAGCCTCTACTTAACCCCCACCAATTCTGAATGAAATCAGTACTTTTTTGACATACCTTTATCAGTACCCAGTAAAACACTGGGATGTGTAAACACATCAAGCGTATATCCAGCCAAGAAAATTTAGAGTTTAGATTCTGATGCTGCTATTCGTAGCATGTAACGTCAGCAGCCATGTTACTGGCACATTGGGTTGCTGAGGCATGCACAGCATATGCATTCACGATATTAATTATTACTGTTGAATTCTAAACCCCCTTCTCACTTATAAAAACCTCCCAAAATATATTGGTGCCCTCTTTTAAAATCGTTCTGGCAAATAATAAGCCAAAAAAAATTGGAGCTTGGATATGGAATTCTCTCCCCTGACAATGTAAACTAAGCTCCGTTTGTTTTCTACAAACTAAAAGCATTGATTCTTGCTGCGCAATGTAGACTCAAAAGGCAATATGGAGGAGATATTATCAAGGTAAGTCCTCAACGGTGTTATTTTCAGCACAAATGAGAATCCAAAATTAAATGTGTTGCGTTCAGTCGAGCAGTACTGATGTTGTTGTCTTGGTGTGTCCTGGCCTTTTACATGTGTGCCCGTGCATGTTGTGATGAGGTTTAGGATCATGTGTGCTTGCTGGTTGTTTTGAAAAGTATGAATTCATCACAAACACTGAAGCTCTTAACTGACGTATGGCGTGGCACCCAATCATGGTGGTGTTAATGACATTAATTTACGTCCTCAAAACTAACTGGCAAGCAAATTCAACTTTGATGGCTATATATAGCAAGCAGAGACATGCTGTCAGGGGAGGCACTGACTTCACCTTTTGTCGCTGGATTTTGTCAACCCGTTTTCACTTAAAATGCCTGATTGACAATCAATCAATTTTAACTTTTTTACCAAACAATTAAGACCAAGCCTATTATGTAGCCTGTAATGATTAAGAGGTGATAATGATGTTACGTTCTGCATTTTCTGTATGTTCTGGTTTATGTTTTTTCCACTTGGTTGTGAAGTTTATTCATTCTGCTGTATCATATGCCAGTTTCATGCGCATTGTTTTCCCTTGTGGCGTCTTGCTTTCTATGTTCTTTGCCAGTGCGCGCCCCTGTCTGCAAGCTGTCACATTTCAGGTGATTTCGGAAGTTTCCAGTGTTTCATGAGTTCCTTCAGGCCTCGTTTACTTCCTTCACAATGATTACTAATTAAGTACTAATTCCACTAACACTTTATGTTTTGTCTACTTTATTTACTAACCCAGACTAATATACTAATCCTGTAAATAACTAACATACTAACTTGCATGTTTGGGTAATATTATTACTGCACAGACTACTAACTCTACCAATTGATTCTCTCCGCTTTCCACAGTAATCTGTTACTCCGCCCTCTTTTCTCTCCCAGTCCTTTTACTTTGTTTCTGCAGAGACTTTTCCAACTATCTAATTTTTTCCATCTCTCCCCACTTGGGCACTCCTTGAATGGAGCTGTTATTGAAGGTCCTGGATGAAGTCAGGTGGCTACTATGGATTCACGTGTGTTGCCTCTGCCACCGCCGCCGCGTCCGCGTCCGTAGACACTTTCTAGTGGACACTCTACAGGCTGTAATTTTTCACCAATTCCTTTCATATTTGGTATGGACATGTGTTTTATTTTACTTATGACACCTATCGATTTTGGTTGCCATGGCAACAGTATTGGCCGAATAATATGCAAATTAGTGGCAAAACATAAAGATTTCCTTGTGGACACAGTACAGGCTGCAATTTTTTGACCGATTACTTTCATATTTGGTGGGGGCATGTGTTACACTTCACTTATAAAACCTATCAATTTTTGTTGTCATGGCAGTATTGGCCGAATATTGTGCAAATTTGTGCTGAAACATACAGTTTAGATTATCCCTCACACCTGTTGCCCCGCCTATCCCGTTACCTCCCTTGAGTATATATAGTCACTCACTTCTGCTTAGCCCTTGTCAGACCGTTGATCATCTTTTCCTGTGCCGAGCTCCTTGTAAGCCAGTGATTTGATTGAGATTCTGTGACACCTTTCTGTCCGATTCTGATTTCTGTCTGTGCCTGCCTGGATTTGTTTGGCTCTTGATTATGACCCTTTTTCTGTCTGACCACGATTTCTGTGTATTGCTGCCCTAGCTTATGAATTCGGATTTCGGACACTCGACTCTCCTACTGCCTTCCGATTTGGCGCTGTAATCTGTGCTTATTGGCTTTTGAACCCCCGCTTGTTTTTGGACCCTGACTTTTGGATTGCTCTTCTGCACAGTGTCTGTGATTACCTGGCTTGGACTCAGATGGAAATAAAGATCACAATTTTTGCATTTCAGACTACTAGCATTTGGTTTCCTCCACCAAACATAACAAATGACAAAAAGTTTCATTTACGTCAACGTTTTGATTTGAGACTGCAAGGATGGAAATCCTAACAATTAGAAAAAAATCTCCACTCTCTCGGTAACTCCATGTATTGTTAACCATTATCGTTGTTTATCGGATTATGAAAGAAGACTGAAAATAAACCATTCTTTTGACTGGCATTAAAAAGTACAGATTTAAGGGGGAAAACATATTGTAAACATATTGACCAAGCAATGAACACGGCATAAGTAAGGTTTTAATATTTTTTAATGCAATTGCGTTAGCTTCCTGTAAGCAAACATGAGAAAATTTGCTGTCTCGTGAGCATTTAAAGTTTCGTGGGTTGTAGAGAGTTAGTATCAGAGTTACCAAGCCTGCTTATAATACGTGACTTTGGGCTTCTTTTTTCCTGAAGTCGCTTGAAAAAATTTCGGGTTGCGGGTTGCGGTTTTTTTGGGCTTGTTTTTAAAAATGCGGTTGCTTGTTAGAGAAGTGTAATAAGCGACCTAATTGTTATACATTTATGGTTGCTATTTCCCCCCGATTCATTGATTGACTCTGTCTGCTCACAGCCTCACGACGAGTAATGTGAGAGAACCCGTCCTCCCTCCTAACCCCTTGCTCAACTAAATGAAAGATAATCTTCCCTCCCACCCTCGCTCAACAAAACAAAGAGATTCCACCCAAGGTCTACACCGTCTTAGAATCGTCTAATTTATATTGGGCTTGTTTTTGAAGCTGCGGTCGCTTATTTGTCTTTTCAGAGTTGGCAACCCTGGTTAATATCTAGTGTGCAGTTGCAAGAGAGTGAGTGAAGGAAATGTTTGGGTGAGTGAGTGTGTGGTGAGATTGAGAGTTAGCGTGTATGTGAGTGTTAGTGGTGTTAGTAGCGGTAGCTAGGTAGCTTAGCATACGTGAGCTAGCATGGCTGGAGGAGGACGAAGGAGGTGTTTGCTTGGGTGTCCGTCCACCCAAACTACTTTGTTCAGCCTCCCTTCGGATGCAGGGATATGAGCTGGCTGGCTTGAATTCCTGCACTTCGACGAGAGCGGGCTGTCAGTGAGATCCATGGTGTGTGGAAGGCACTTAACACAATCCTGCTTCTCAAACAACGGGCAAAACTCGCAGCTGGGCTGGCTCAGGATCTAATCCTGACGGATACAGCAGTCCCGACAGTGTACACTGTTGGGGCACCTTCTTCGAAAGTACCGGTAAGTTGCTAGCTGGGCTACTAACGTAGACATTTGCTCTTTATAAACCAGTATCTTACACAGCGTAAGTTCTAAGTTAGCTACTGCTAGTTTTACCAATGTAGCTAGCCTAACGTTACTCCTGGCTGACAATTGTCTCGTTACTTCAGATTTCATGATTCATAACCAGTGGTGTTGTGGTCGTTGGACGCGGGGGTGCGGCATCCCCCCGTCTTTTTTTTTTTACGGGTCACCCAGAGTAAACACTATGTCCCGCCCCAAACAATAAATATGCCGCCTGCTCGATAACACCCAATCAAATTCGTTTTCCTTAGTTGTGTAAACTCGTGCAGAAACTCGGGGAAACTTGTTGAAGGAGGCGGGACAAACAGGACAAACGGCCATTTCTGAACATCTTTAACCTTTTAAGGCCTAATGCAAAAATCCCAGCAGTGAATCATGCTGCTGTGTTTACCAGAGTAACCTGTATTTGAGCTGAAGCACAGCTTCTCAGTTTTCAGGAACAGTTGGAATTTTTTCGATTGCGCAAAACTTACAGTAATTACGGTACTTTCAAAATCACGTGCATATCTGTGTCGGTGACGACATGTTCGGCGTAAAATTGTTAACTGACACGGCGCACATTCAACGATTAGAATGAGTGAATGGTGTAACACTTACAACAAGACGTTTACTCCATAAAATGGCGCAACCACCAACGGTCTTCCTGTTATGAGGTTTGATTCATCCATGCCCAACCATAGACAATAAAAAAAGATGGACTAAGCAACCGTGACGTGGCCCATTGGTTTCAGCATACCATTTAGAAAGCCTCGATTTTGGCAATTTGAACAGCGCCATTTGTCATTTTGAAACCGGATGTCATTCCTATTGGACGAGAGCGTGAATTGAAGATCCAGCGAGGAGCGAGGGGTGGATCTACGGGTGGATCTGACCCTATCTGACGAGGACC